AAATTGTCCTGGTAGGGATTGTCCTCTTTTCACCATCAGCACACCCCTCTTGTACCATTTCTGTCACAACTTTTGCAGGGTTTGTGTGTCTCACCAGAGTGTAAGTGGATAATTCAGATGGTGATCTGCACCCAAAAACACCTTGTGTTTTTAGTCTTTACAACTAAATTTTCTGAGATTTTTTTTTTGAAAGTTGATGTTTATAGAACAAAGTGAATCAAATAAACTATTCTCATTAATCCAAACATGATTTAACATCCCTACTTGGATAACTGGGGAAGAACCACAAAGTAAGGGAGGATTTATGGGGAGCAGACAAGGTTAGCAGCTTTCCTTTCTCCTTAACACCAAAAYCATTGAGGAAAAAATTACTTCATTATGTTTGAACAATAATTTAAGGAAATAGCCATGTTATTCTGTTTGGGTTTTGGCAGAAGGGGGTTTTGGAACYGAAGAGCACATCAGTCTTTCAGAGCTGTATCTCTAAAGCCCATTTCTAATGCACAAAACCTCTCTCCAAGCTAGGTAATCTCCCATTAATGAGGCAAAGGAGCCCAAATTAATTTCTGAAAGTAGGAGAAAAACATAAAGGGAAAATTGTAGAAAGCAGATAAAACTGAAAATGTATATCATTCTTTCTTGTAGCAAATCCAAGTAATTGCAAGGAAATTTCATTTTCCTCCCCATTTAACCCCAATTATTTTCATTTAATCACAGAAATGTACCCGTTTCCCTCCAAACCACCCTGCTTTGCGTGTGAAACATCATTTCCAGAATGCACTTGGGTTCAGGCATGTCCCTAATCCCCTAAAACAAACACAGCAGTGGGACAGCACATCCCAGCACATGTGGCACTGCTGGGAGGGCTCACTGGCTGTGCAGGAAACCAGGCCAAGCCATCCCAACAGAGATGTCTGGAAAGGCAGGCACAAAAGGGATTTTGTGGGGCAGGAGCAATGCTGTCTTTGTGAGGAATTATCTTTTGGGGGGATCAGGATTTGGTGCAACTCATCCAAGTTGAGGATATCATTGCAGTTGGAGCTGGACAGGCTGGTTCCACGGGCTGAGGCCAATTGTGTGAGATTAAATAAGGTGAAATCTTGCACTTCAATCACAACTCCTTGCAGCACCACAGGCTGGGCTGGAGTGGCTGGAAAACTTCCTGGGGTCAGTTTTGGGCCTCTCACTCCCAGAAAGACACTGAGCTGCTGTAGTGTGTCCAGAGAAAGGGATGGAGCTGGGAAGGGTCTGGAGCAAAAGTCTGATGAGGAGCAGCTGAGGGAGCTGGTGGGGCTCAGCCTGGAGAAAAGGAGGCTCATGGGAAGAACTTAGGGTTCCTAAATATCCTGAAAGGAGGGCGTAGAAGGGTTCTTCTTGCAGGTAACAAAAGAGATTACAAGTGGAAACAACCTCAAGTTGTGCCAGGGGAAGTTTGGCCTGGATAAAAGGAAAAAWTTATTCACCACAATGGTTATCAGGCCTTGAAACAAGCCCAGGGAGGTGGTGGAGTTACCATCCCTGGGGGTATTTAAAAGAAGTGAAAATATGGCAGCTGGGGGCATGGTTTAATGGTGAATGTGGCAGTGCTGGTTTAACTGTTGAACTCAATAACCTTAAGGGTCTTTTCCAACCTAAATGATTCAATAATTCTATGGCTTGGTTGGTTTTCCATTAGATGGGCTTGGTGGCACCACACCACTCCTGAGGTGTCTGATGGCTCCTTCTGGTCAGGGTGTCCTGGCAATTGCTCACTGCTTTGGTTAATGTTGATTGAACAATGGCAAGTCTCTTATCCACACCTGGATGCAGATGGAGTCTCAGGACAGCTGATCAGAGGAGCAAACCCACTTCTTTTAACCTTCACAGCCAAATTTCTTCATCTCTTTCTCACCCAGGAGGTAAGAGCAAGACTGATGGGCAGATGCAGTGGGTCACTGATGGCTTGGGAAGAGGTCAGAGAGATCCTTGTGTTGGGCTGTGCCAGGGCCACCAGGGAAGGGCTGAAGCAGCCAGGAAGGGAGGAGGAAGGTGCAGATCAGCAGGTTGTGCCAGGTGTTCCACTTGCCCTGCCCAGAGAAAAGCAGAGTCTCCAAAGACAAAGGGATTTATTTATCTGCCAAACCAGTAAACCCCAGTAAACCCCCTGTACCAGACAACCCTCAGACCACGGAGAGGATGAGCCTCCTGATCTCTGCTCACCATCTGAGGACAAACACATRACCACATCAGAAGGGGTGCACACTTGAACTCTTCCCATGCATTTCCATGGGAACAGGAAAACTGTTTTGTTTTCCTCTTTTTAATATTTCTCTTATGATTATTTCTGAAATACCCTGCTTGCCGGAGACTTGGCCTGAAGAGATAAGGAAGAGAAAATGTCACAGACTGTTGTCARTAAATTATTTTTCCCATTTCTTGATGCCAGGAAAAGCAGTTCTTACTGTAGGAAAGCAGATCATGGGTTATRCTGTCTTCAAATTATTCATTTCAGAGATGTTAGAAATTGCAATATGCACCGATAAGTACAGCGTGTTAGATGGGAGTTGGCAGCAATGAAAAACTTTTCTGKAGCAAAAAGAAAATATCTTATAACCTGATCTCTCTTTTCTTGTCCATAAAGAGGTGATTCAGAGTCTTTTCAGGATTACAACCTGTTCATTTTCACATTCATCATTTTGCTYCTCATGAACACAAGATGAAGACCTAACTCTTTAGGAAATGTACCTTATGATTGTGTCTGGAAGCAGCACTGCTCACCAGCTGGGACTTCACAATACTTTCAGTAGTTGTATTGACGCCATTCAGTTTGAAAGTTTCCATGCTGGTTCTGGTTTCTGCCTCAGTGCATGGAAAGTGTAGTTTCCAATCTGTCAACTGTTTGCAACTGAAAAACATTTTCTTTTTCTCTAAATATTTTTCTGATTTTTTACCATCACATCTTTAGAGCGAATAGATGGAGTCTGAGGAGGGTGTTTTTATACCTAGTCTATTCTGTGGAAAATCCACACCAATTCAGGCAGGTTATAATGAATGGCTGAAAATTTTTCAGCTGCAGACAGTCAGCCAATGGTTGAAAATTTTTCAGCCACAGGCAGTCAGCCAAATCTTTAAACCACCAGTAGTTCCCCTGCTTTGTGCCATAGCTGGGTAGTGCAGTGCAGTGTGATGGTCCCAGTGGTGCCACTTTCTTATCACCACCAGAAATCACCAGCTGCAGTCACCTGGGAAGTCCATTCTGTGGCCACACATTTGTTACCTCACCCTACGGAGAGAAAAACCACCATCTGTCTGAAATGGCTCCAAGAAGGAGCGCATGGTCAAAAATTAAGATTTGGATGGGACCTAAGGAAGAAACTCCTTCTTGTGAGGTTTGTGACATAGAGGCACAGGTTGCCCAGAGGAGCCGTGGATGCCCCATCCCTGGAAGTGTTAGAGGCCAGGTTGGATGGGACTTTGAGTAYCCTGGTCTAGTGGAAGGTGTCCCTGCCCATGGCAGGGGAACTGGAAGTACAGTTAGAGCTGTGGGCAGCCTGAGGACAGGTTTTGGGGTTCCAGATCCAGCCCTGATCAATGGAGTGTGGTCAGTGCCGCCCCCAGAGCACCTGGGACATGTACTTTGTTCTGTGCACTGACT